GTTCTGGAGAATCGTGTTGAATAAAGGGGAATTCTAATTATTGAAAAGTAAATATACTCTCCTCCACACCTGTTCAAAAGATCAATTAAGACTTGTACATATAATTATATAAATTAATAATTCTCCATTCATTGGAGGGCTGATCTCAGGAGTCTTTTAATAGTAAGTAACATTTTTGAACATTTGAAGTATGATTTTCAATTATAAAAAAATCATTGGCTATATTAATTTTTTAGAAAAAGATACAATACCTCCAACCAGTATAATTCACTCTGGAATTATCTGATTAGGACATGCATATTACGCATTTTAGAAGCAAATCGTCTACTGATGGCTGTTTCTAAAAATTTCATATGTATATGTTTTGTTTTGTTTTGTTTTTATTATAGATACAAAAAAGCAAGAAGCCATTGTGGGTGGAGGGACAACCAGGCATTGCTTCTATGGACTTCAGCCTGATTCAGAATATAAAATCAGTGTTTACACAAAGCTCCAGGAGATTGAGGGACCCAGTGTGAGCATAATGGAAAACACACGTAAGTCTGGTGTGTTCTCTTCTGATCTCCATCTCCATGAACAAACAGTATTTTAGCCATCCTGTTTTGGTTCAAAAACCTTATTCCCTTTAGAAAAATATTAGCTATTGCTGCCCAGGAATATCTGTAAAACAAGTCTTCTTATCCAGTCTCAGATTCACTGCATGTGGCCCACTGACATCACCTGTATGGTTTTTTCCCCTTCTCCATATGTTTCATAAGAGACTATAAGACCATATGATGGCATAGTGCTTGAAACAATGATCTATATTGTGATCTATATCCATAAGGAACATTTGTGCTTTGTGGAATGTGAAATGAAGTTTAAGGACTAGGTTCTGACATTAAAACAATGGCATATTACCACAGCCATGAGGGTGGGAATGGAGCCAAGAAGTTCCAACTGGCTGACCCTAGAGTTATTGCCTACTTAAGAGTCTCTTGCAATTTTTCCGAGTTGGCTGCAGATCTGATGCACTGAAGGGAGAGGCAAAGTACAAAATTAAAACAAAGCACTTTTTACATGTTCAAAAGAACAAGGAGGGTGTCAACTTCTTGGAATGGCTTTTAATCAAAGATTCCTGACCTAAATAAAGGCCACAAACATTAAAATGGTTTGAATTATAATGAATTCTGGGGAACATTTGTGTGCTTAACTCAGTATCTTGAACTTAAACTCAAAATCCCTGAGGATTTGTGTCTTAATAGGTAGTGGACAA